GGGGGGAGGGAGGGGTACACACAACAAAAAAAATTGTACTTCAATGTCTTAATGATAGACAAATGATGACATATTTGTGTTTTTTTTAAAGAAAAATAAAAAAGTTCTGTTCACAAAAAGTATAGGCCTGTATCTATCATTTAATTGGGTTTACTTGGAACTATCAGCTTTATGCTATACAAATCCAAGTATCACTACACAGAAGAATTATCTTTTTGTTACCATCTAGTATCTGTTCACATTGTAATCCAGAACTGGTAGTCTTACAGATGTTCAAGAGATTCATTGTCTTGAACAGGAATTAGGGCACAGTTTGAAGGCTATATTAAAGAGCTGTGCTGAAGGTTGCAAACTAGTAGAACATGGCTGTTTAAATTGTGCTGCCCTCATCACTATTTTAAGTAATGGACCCAGCAAGTGGAGGTCTTCTTAGTATAGGAAAGTTAAGGAAAACAACGGGGTATATTTTCCTTTCCATCAATAGTTCTTTGAAGATAAGAAAAAAACCCACTACCAATTGCTCTCTGGATTTGGGTATGTTTCACCTTATTATGGGGATTGAGCCACTAATTTTGCTGTTGTATGAACTACTAGGCCAACATGCTTTGTGATTTCTGCATTTGTGCTTATTAATTGAAGTCTGAGTCACAGTATTTTATATGGCTCAAGCCGATGTCTGGTAAAGTAGGCTATATATTTAATAAACTTTTTAGATGCATGTTTTACTTTAATTTGGTATGCTCTTCAAATTATCTGTAATAACCAAATAAATTGCACTGGATTGTTTTTTATTGATTGACTAACCACAAGATTACTTGATGCAGATTAGAACTCAGGGATCATGTGGAGAGGATTTAACCTTTGATCCCTCCAGTTCTTTTTTTCCATCTGACTGTTATTTCCATTGGGAAAAGAGCTATTAATTGATATATCTACTCTTAAAAATTGAGATCTTACAGAATGATAAAAGACATCAGACTATCAAAATGATATTCAAAAAGCTCATGGAAAAATGCAGCATGATATATACAATATATACAATCCCTATGGAAAAAATGGGCCTTTCCTAATGAATTGATGCAACTTTACTGGGAAGCTCTATGTTGTGAATGGGAAACCTTGATAATTTCCTTGACAGGTTTTATATGAAATTTCCAGTTGTTCAAGTATGAAATAGTACAATTATTTAATGATTGCAGGTTAGTGAAAT